GTTTTGCCTAGCCTAGGGGCTCAGCAGCTGATGTAACCTATACCAAACAAGATGGCAGGCAAAATCACTGTCAAGCCAGAAGCAAGTCTTGCGTTCCAGTCCCAATCTCTCTCTATTAGACTCCACCATAGTAGATTCCATCAAAAGTCCTTCCAAATAACTCTGAATCATAAGACCATTGAAAGCCCCAAAGGAACCTGATTTTCTGGCATCTCTGGGATGGCTGCTCCCCCCCAAAAAAGGTTACAAGTAGGGCTGCTGACTACGAGGTGAGTCCTGGAGATCTCCTGGAATGACAGCTGATCTCCAGACTACAGAGATCAGGAAAATGGCTGCTTTGGAAGGTGGGGTCTATGGCATTATACTCTGCTGAGGCCCCTGTCCTCCACAGGTGCCATCCCCAAATCTCCTGGAATTTCCCATTCTGGAGGGATGTGGACCCCTGGTTGTGAAGGGCTTTAAAGGTCAAAATCTGCAACTTAAATGAGGGGAGCGGTGGCACAGAGGATTTATCCTCTGGTTAACATCTGAACTGAACAGAGCTGCTGTCAGTTCTAGCCCGTGCTGGTGTGAGCTACCAGCCTTGTCCCCAGCTCGTCGTCCATCCAGCGGTTCGAAAGCTTCGGCGAGTAGATAAAATGAGTACCATTCCTTAGAGAGGGTGGGCACACTAAACCCCCGTGGGGGAGGTGTTAGCCGGCGAATGGAAGGTCCAGCTCGTAAGCTCGGAAGCCTGGAAAAAAAGACCTCTTCGGCATTAAGAAGCCTGTGATGGGCCAATCCGGCCAGGTGGTGGCAGTGTGGCACTACAACTCAAAGCAGTCCTGGAAGAACTGAGGTCATCCAGCCAAGCCGAAACTGAATGCCGTCCGGAACACGCCTGAAGCTTACAGCTGAAAAAAAAAACGTCGGCTGCAAAAGTGTGCGATTTAAAGAATTATATGTTGTCCTCCCTTACCCTATGAATCATTGTTAGTCCTGTGTGAAAACCTGAGTAACTGTAAATCACTCAGAGCCAGCAGCTCTGCAGGATGAGCGATCAATAAATCGAAAGGTATTATTATTATTATTATAAACTGAGCCTAAAAAAAAATTGCTAGCCAATGCAGATATGCAAGAACAAGGGTTGTGTGTTCCCATTGTCCCTTGCTGCCATCCAAAGCTGAGCCGCCCCATTTTACACCAACTGAAGTTTCAAATTCTCTTGAAGGGCAGCATTGTGTTCTTTTTAGCTGTTAGAATGTGGGTGATCCAACTGTAAGAAGAGATTGCAGTCTGTGTCACCCTTCTGTGTGAGCAGGGCAACATGTATATTTCCCCCCAGCTTATGCCATCAAAACCCAGATTTTTTTAGGGTATGACTTCATGCCTACTGAAGCTGGAGCCCAGGTTTGCTGCCCTATTCACACAAAATGGTGACTGAGAATATCAGAAGGGTCACGGATAGTGTGCTCAACCATTGCATGAGGATGGAATGCCAAAATTGTGAGGTCACAGGGAATTTGGGGAGCTAAAGCTAATGGGACTTTTCAAATACAGATCATAGCATCTTGAAGATCAAACCACAACAGGTCTATGAGATATGTGAATGGTTTGCCTGCATGTTCAGTAAGAAAAGCATTTCCTTTATTATTGAAACAAGCACCTTTCTGAAAATGCAGATGGGAGATAATTGAGTCATCTGTCTCATTTACGTCACTGTATTTACCGTTAATCCCAGAGGATAGTCCATGTCTCCTGTTTAGATGCCCTGTAACTGACCATGCAGAAAGATAATTTCCTTTTCTTTTCTTAAATTCCCTCTTTATTTCCTCCCTTCTTTATTGAAGGATCAAAAGTTTAGAGATCAAGAGTTATTTAAGGATCAAAAGTTTGGGTCCAATATGCAGAAAACCCAAAGAAAGTGTATGTTGGCTGGCTCAGTGTAGTAGTCAGAGTGTCAGACTAGGATCTGGGAGACCCAGGTTCGAATCCCCACTCTGCCATGGAAGCTCACTGGGTGACCTTGGGCCAGCCACACGCCCTCAGCCCAACCCACTCAGCTCACAGTGTTGTTGTGAGGATAAAATGGAGGAAAGGCAAACAATGTAAGGTGATTCGAGTTCCCACTGGGGAGAAAAGATGGGACATAAATGAAATAAATAAATAAATAAAAATATAAAAGTCACTCAGCATGTCACCTTTAGCAGAGAAGACATCACTATACAAACACTGTCGATTTTGCACACACGCACCCGTATTGTTCTCTTTGTACATTTACTGTTGCTTATGAGCAAACCAGTTTACTGCTCCAGGAACCAATCCTAGGAAGAACAAATAACCCCTCAATAGAAATCTATACCATCAGCAGACACCCCTAAAAAGCCTTTCAAAACAGAAAAAAAAATCAATCCACCCACAAGTTACCAGTGGGACAACTAGATTGGCCTCTCAAGGCAGGGAGTTCTGCACAGGGAGGTGCCATTACAAAAAAGGCCATGCTCCTCATTGTCATCCACCTTGCCCAGATGACAGTGATGCTCAGCAGAGATATTCAGAAGCCTATCAGGGTCTCCCAGAGCATCAGACTGGGAGATAAGGGGTGGTATTTGACAGATTTGGGTGGAGCTTGGAGAGGTAGAGGAGGAGTGTAATGTTAAGCTCCCAAACTGGGTGGGGACAGAGCCAGTTGGAGACTTGCCTGTTGTCTTCTATTGCCATCTTCAGCCAGCAGATGAAGACCTTTTTGTTTCTTTTTTTTTTAAGTATTTTTATTAATTTTCAACACTTTACTAAGACAAACCTCCATAACAGTGACAAACCTAAATACATAAAAACAACCACAACCACCCTCCACCAGAACCCCCACAATTATCTTTTCCATAGCAACACAGAGAGACTCACATCCTTTCTAAGTCCTATCTTCCCTTTTCTCTCATAGCCTTCCCTTTTTATTAATTAGGATCTTATACTTATACCTCTTGCTAAAGCTTTTACTCCTTCAGAGCTATATCAAGAACTCTGGGGAAAAGTTAAGTGATGTAAAGATGGGACGGTCAAAAGAAAATAGTCAACATTTAAAAACTGCACGAAAGAAGGAGAGAAACAAGACTAGAGGAAGGCGAAAGGCATGGAAGTTCAAAAAAGCCAATATACCTTGGAAATTAAAGGGACTGAAAAGCAGAGAGAAGAGATATGGAAGGCAAAGTACCTTAAAAGAGCGCAGACACTATGATATGCTGAGGTTGAAAAATAGACTTCAAATGCTCAGAAAGAAAAATAAGTTATATGAAAGAGGGAGGACTTGTCTCAGTTATAAGCTTGAAATGGAATTCGACCCAAATTTACCAATGAATTTATGTACTGTAACTTTATTTACTTTCTATGAGTTGATGGTGTATCATGTGATGTATATTCACTGAGATGATGGTATAAGGGAACTACAGGTATAAGTTTAGTGGAATGTGATAGATGAAAACTAATTATGATAAGAGACTTGTCGTATGTAAGGTAAAATTGACGATATTTATTAATGAAATGTTAGAAAATTAACTATTTATAATTATCAGAGTTAGAACCATTTATAAAGGGAATGAAATTACTTATATATGAAAATGATAAAATGTGAAGGGGTTTTGTTTTAGTTGATGACAAATGTATCAATTATTGGAAGTTAATGGGAAGACTAGGAGCTGCGGTGGCTCAAGTGGTTAAGACGCTGAACTGCAGGCTGTGGAAGGTCAGTAGTTCAGCGGTTCAAGACCCGGGTGCCGCAAGACAGGGTGAGCTCTCGTCTCTAGTTCCAGCTCCTGCCAACCTAGCAGTTCGAAAGCAAGAAATTGCAAGTAGATAAATAGGTACCACTTTGGTGGGAAGGTAACAGCGTTCCGTGCGCCTTGGTGTTTACTCATGCTGGCCACATGACCACGGAAATGTCTTCGGACAGCGCTGGCTCTTCGGCTTTGAAACGGAGATGAGCACCGCAACCCTAGAGTCGGATTCGACTGGCTTTCGAGCAAGGGAACCTTTACCTTTACCTAATGGGAAGACTAAATTCTTTTAATAGTTTATTTAGTTAGTGATGAATATTTGATGTGTATCTGGAATTAAGGTTTAAAGCTATGGAGATTGAGAGGTATAAATTTATAGAAGGTGTAGGGGATGAATAGGAGGGTTTTGGAATGTGTGCAATGTGTTTAATTAAATATAGTGAAAGGAGATTATTTTTGATATAGGTATAAGTTTATGTTGTGGCATGTGAAGGCTTAAATTTATCATTGGTAAAAGAGAACAGTTTTGTTTTGTTAAAGGATTATGAAAAAGTATCTATGCTAATGACTGAATTAAGGCATGAGCAGGAGCAGAAGTTTATAAATATATATAACTATAAGAAGATAACACAAGGAAAAAAATATATAAAAATCATAGTACTAAGAAGCTTAAGGTCCACAGCACAGATAAGACCTTTTTGTTTCATCTGGTGTTGCCTGTTCTATTTTGTTTAACGTTTTGGTGTGTATTAGCTTTGGCTTTAATTGTTTTAATGATGTGGTTTTTGTTTGGTTTTAATGGTTTTAAGATGTGATCTCATCAGAGCTTGGAAGCTAAGCAGGGTCAGCCCTGGTTAACACTTGATGGGAGACCACCAAGAAAGTCCAGGGTTGCTACACAGAGACAGACAAAGGCAAATGACCTCTGTTACTCTCTTGCCTTGAAGACCCCATGATGGGGTTGCCATAGGTCAGTTGTGACTTGACAGCTCATGTTACCTTTTTATCCAATAAAAAGGCCAGCGGAGTATTTGATGCAGCCCTAAGTAATACATTCCTACAGAGACCCTTCAGACATGTTTTTAAAAGAGAGAAATTACAGTTCACCAAGTGAACCATAGTATTTTCACAGGCGATGTCTAAAAGCAGTTGAGCTGCTGCTAAGTTCAACACTGTAATGGTGTCTTCATCCCCCCGAGTCACTCTTTTTGTCTTCTTTTTCTGCCACTCCAGCTCTACACTATTGGCCAGGAGCTTCTGAGACCACCTCCAGAGACCATGTTTAATGTGGAAACAAGTTCCTCTTCTGCCAGGAACGTTATCCGGAGCTCCAGTATCAGCGGGGAGATGTACAACATCGAGAAGAGCAGTGGGGGCAACCCAGACTCAGCTAGTCTCTCATCCAACAAGAAGAGGCGGTCCAGCCTTGGGGCCAAGATGGTGGCCATCGTGGGGCTGTCCCAGTGGAGCAAAAGTACAATGCAGCTGAACCATCCTGGTAAGAAGGCCCTCCAGTTCCGGGACATCAAAGCAGGGAGGTTGATCTTTCAGCCTTAGAAAATTTACTCCCTGACCTGGATGGCCCAGGCTAGCCAAATCTGGTCAGATCTGGGAAGTTAAGCAGGGTCATCTGGTTAGTACAGGAGGGCCTGGAGTGACGTGGTCTATGGGGTCGCAAAGAGTCGGACTCGACTGTGCGACTGAACAACAAAATTGCTGAGAACTGGGGGTGGGGTAGAGAATGTCTCTGGCCCTTTTACTTATGGAGGAGGGGGCTTTATGAGTGAGCCAGATTCTGCCCATTTGATTCAGGAACAATCATAGCCGCTCCTGTTTTCCAAGATCCTGAGCTGGGATAACTGACAAGCAAGAGATAGCTGCACAGTCCTTCGATTTCCCCTCTCTCTAATTGACCTTTTATTTGTAGCAAAGGGTCATTGAGTTAGGAGCAGTCAGGAAGGTTGCCAACTCTGGGGTGGGAAATTGAGGGTACATGTTCTTTCAGCAAAAAAGGGCAGATCCCTGCCCCAAAGACCACACAGTGTCCATGGGAGAAGAAGGCATCAAATGACAAAAGGAGACAGATGAAAAGGCAGAATGCAGCACAGGATACAAATGGTTACAGAGAATGGGTCTTTGCTTTGGTCTGGGATGAGAAGTAAGGGGGGCAGACTGAAGGAAAGTTGAGTTTCGAGGAGGGATTTGAAGAAAGAGGCACTTTGGTGCAGCTGCAGAGTGCTGGATTTAGACCAGAAAGAATGGGGGCCTCTCAACAATTACAGCTTTAAGAATTTTGTATGTACCTAAAATAGATGTTTTGGGGGAAAGCCCCCCCAAAATATGAAGCGCTAGTTATAATCTTGGCATTTTCTAAAAGCCATGCCTTTGAATTATTATAGTTTTGGTCCTTGCCGCAATTTCATGGTTCAGCTGTTCTTTGAAGAGAAGGAGCTTCTTTGGCACTTAGAAGACTTGTGTGTCTAAGATTTATCCAAAGGGCTGTAATTACCCCCAGAAAAGCTAAGAAAGGAAATAGCAACGGGTGGTGGTGGTGGAACTAAATGGTAGAAAACATCTCTTGGTAATGATGGAACCCAGAATAAGATCCTCAAGCACAGTGGAATGTCATGGAAAACTTCCAGTGCAAATATTGACTGGGAGACAGTTTTGATACAAACTGAATGTTTTGCCCTGGGGTTAAGTAAGAGTGACTGACAAGCCTCTTTTTGATATATAATTAACAGTTTTGCTACACAGCAAAGGGAAAAGGCATGGGGTCTACTTGCTTTAGTGACAACTCACCTACATTTCTATGTGGCAGGAAGCGTTTCAGGGAGGTTCATAAGTGCTGTCAAACTCCAGTCCACTTACAATAACCCCAGACAAGGGGCTTTCAGCGCAAGTGAGAAGCAGAAGTAGTGTGCTGTTGCCTTCCTCTGCAGAGCGTTCCTTGGTGGCCTCCCATGCAAGTACTGACCCTGTTTGGATTCTGAGACCTGATGAGATCAGGCTACGATACCATTCCGCACACAACCCCTTCCTGGTAACACAGGGACTTATCTACATGAGTTGTGTATCGTTTTCAAATGGGAATTGAGTCATAGACTCTGACTAACTCATGCAAATGTACCAGAAAATCCATTCACAATGAGGCTCGAATTGCTTTTTTGGTTCTGCATTTGATGTATTTAGAGCAGGAGGTGCCCCATGCCTCTAGAACAAAAAGCATTGTCTGAATGTTGAAAGTGTTTCTGCATACATTATCTCGGTAAACTTTTATACCTGACCTGTAAATGAAATCTTAGCCCCACCATTTGGGAACTTCCAAGAAAATGGCTAGGGGGAGAAACAGGGAACTACTGCTCACATTTATGTTTCCCAAACTCTGACTCATTACAGAGAGGGGGATTTAACACTCGTTTTTGTGCTGTATGAGAAAGGTCAGGAAGAAACTGAAATCTGGGGATGTGCACCAATTTCTGCACAAGGATCACTTAAGCTATTAGGGCATCTCCCCATTTGCCAGTCTGGTAGTCCTTTGCAGGGATTAATTTGGATCAGAGCAGGTTTTCCCCCCTCTCCAACTGCCTCTCCACTTGAAACGAATTACTTTGGGGGCAAAGGGCTGTCTCTTGCTGGAGGTCTTCAAGCTGACTGGATAGTCCCTGATTTCCCACAATGAGTAGAAGGTTGAAACAGATGGCCTTTAAGACCCCCTTCCAACTCTTAAGATTCCCTAAAATCAGCCAATGCTAAAGGAAATCAACTCTGACTGTTCCCTGAAAGGCCAGATACTGAAGCTGAAGCTCAAATGCTTTGACCACCAAATGAGACGGGAGCACTCACTGGAGAAGACCCTGATGCTGGGAAAGACTGAAGGTCAAAGAAGACAGGGACGGCAAAGGATGAGATGGTTAGACAGTGTTATCGATGCAACCAACATGACATTGAGCAAACTCCAGAGGAAGGTGGAAGACAGGAGGGCCTGGCATGATGTGGTCCATGGGGTCGCAAAGAGTCAGACTCGACTGTGCAACTGAACAACAACAAAAAAAGCAGCTTAAAGGATTATGGCGTGCAGCCCCTGGTGCTAGTTTCTTTCCTCTCATAGGGCTGAGCAGAAAAGGTCCCTGGTTCCATGCTTCCCTTCAGCTTAAACAGTCCTCCCTCTGCTAGAGTTACACAGGGATCACAGTCTTCTTTTTGTGTGTGTGTGGGATTCATTTGTTAGCCTAGCACATATGGAGGGGCCCTACACCCTCCCAGGTTTGCAGGAAACGCTCTCCTTTTCCCTGTGTGGTTGTGTTTTGCTGCCATGCTCTGGTGCACACTCAAGACGCTGATTTGGTATTAGAGGGAATGCTTTTGCAAATGGGGCTCAAAGGCCAAGAGAAGTGATTTTATGAATTTTACTGTCAAAGTTTACCCCACATCCCAGAATGGTCCAATTTTCTTTTCTTTTTGATATGTATTTGAATCTGGGATGGTGAGCCCACCATCTGCTCTGGCCTCTTCATTCGCCCCTTAGTCTGTATGTGAATGTGGAGGGGCTTTTTTTCTTGTTGGCAGGTCCCAGGTATTTCAGGGAGGGAGGGTGCAGAAGAAGTCCTTCTCCTGAAGTATGGGGTAGACTCCAAAATATCTTGTGGGGACAATTTTCTGATCAAACCTGAGTTGTAATGTTGACCTTCCTGGCCCTGATTTCCTGTTGATACTCCCCTTGATCGTACGCCTCTGTTTTTATGAATTTTACTGTTAAAGTTTACTCCACACCCCTAAATATTTCAATTTTTTCCTTTTCTTTTTTGTGGAGTGATATGTATGTGGCTCAAGTGCTTAGGGCGCTGAACTGCAGGCTGTGGAAGGTCAGTAGTTCAGCAGTTCGAGACCCGGGTGCCGCATGATGGAGTGAGCTCCCATCTCTAGTTCCAGCTCCTGCCAACCTAGCAGTTCGAAAGCAATAAATTGCAAGTAGATAAATAGGTACCCCTTTCGGTGGGAAGCTAACAGCGTTAGTATTTAGTCATGCCGGCCACGTAACCACGGAAACGTCTTCAGACAGCGCTGGCTCTTCGGCTTTGAAACGGAGATGAGCACCGCAACCCTAGAGTCTGATTCGACTGGCTTTCGAGCAAGGGAACTTTTACCTTTACCTATGTATGTAGAATGCATGAAATAAACTTAAAAATTTTAAAAAGGCCAAGAGAAGCAGCAGCCAGGTTCTAAGTTCACAGCTTAGCCACTGAGGAGGGGAGGGCATCTAGCTCAGTGGGCAGAGGGCATGGTTTGCATGCTGGTCTCAGGTCCAATTCCTGGATCTCAGACTGCACAGTAGGGGAAGACCCTTCCCTGGGACCTTGGGGAGGAGGTGCCAGTCTTAGCAGATGCTAATACTGGTGGTTACCAAGATCCATTCTCTGACTCAGTATCAGGCAGGTGATTTTTTTGTAGAGTCTAGGCTACAGAGGCTCCCAATCCCAAATCAACTCTAAATTCCTTCTGTCCAGTCATGAGAGATTAAGGTCTCTCCCACCACCCAAATTTTTCAGCACAAGAAAGCAAAGTGGACGAATCTATAGCACAGTCTAATGATCTCAGCCTTGATGGTCATTTATAGCCTCGCCTTTCTCTTGCTTCATGAGATTGCTTGCCAGAGTGCAGCACAGATGTGTTGGTGGTTGTGGGCTGAACTATATCAGAAAAGAATGTGTGACTGAAAAAAGCTTTCCTGAGAACATGCTGTCAAGTTGCAACTGCTATATGGCAACCCCAGCACAGGGCTTTTAAGGCAAGTGACAAGCAAAGGTGGTTTGCCACTGCCTTCCTCTGCAGAGCCTTCCTCAGTGATCTCCCATCCCTGTACCAATCCTGCTTAGCTTCCAAGATCTGATGAGATTGGGCTATACCATACCATTCCACATCCTGCTATACCTCACCACCACCACAGGAATATAATCTGCTGGCATCTCACTGAGGAAGCCAGGATGACGAGGCCTTTACACCATGGCCTAAGAGATCTTCTTTCTACCCTTCTATCTTTTTCAAACCTTGTAACTTCAGGAGTGACAAACCATGCTGTTGGGCTCAAAAGCTGGCAGTGTTCTGTGCTAAATTTGGTTAATCCACTAAAAGGTATTCCCTGGATTTTTATTCTTGTTTGTGGGATTTAACAAAACAAGACAGATTCTGTGTTAAACGCCGTGGCTGGTGCCCCTTGAGAGCAAGTGTCCTGTCTGATATGCTTCAGGACCAAGGACAGAGCCAGTGGCTTTTTGCAAATTGGGTGGGTGATGAGATTAGGGACGCACACCAATTTCTTTTGAGAACGTTTTGGTCCATTTTGCCCTTTCACAATTTTTTAATTCATTCCTTGTCATAATCATTACACATTCTTATTCCTTTTTTTGCTTATTTATTTTGGTTTTCAGGAGAAACACATTTTAGCCCCCTAATGGTTGTTGTTTTCTGCCCAATGGGTTTAATTGGCTAGGGATTCAC